AATTAAACCCTCACTAAAATTCCATATATTTTGTTTTAAAATAAGAAGAAAATACAGAAAAATAAAATTAAAGTTGATTCTCTGTTGCTCTTTTCACATCAAAAGCTAAGATTACTGAAAATTCAAACTGGTTTTTTTTTTTGGCTTGAAAGTTGGCCAGCAGTCATGAGAAGACTGCACTAAATCCAGTGACATAAAGAAAGCAATAAAACCGTTTTACATTTAAGTTATTACTTTTGGGGCCAGATGAAATGTTAATGAAGGCCAGATTTGACCCGAGGGCCTTTAGTTTGACACAAGTTTTACTTTAAAATTAAAGTTTAATGTTGCAGTTTATGCAGTTCTAACTAAAAGTCAAGATGAAGTCATTTTAAATGTAAAATTATTACAGCASTGGAATGTTAAAAAATAATTTCTTCAAAACACCAACACTGGCAGAACCAGAAATGATTGATGAATTAAGTTTTGTCTTACTTGCTGCTCTCTGTCTGCAGCAGCTAAAACCACAGGAGGGGATAAAATATTTCACATYGTGTCTGACAGAAACAGCCCGTTTCAGTGAGGGTCACACTTGGTTCCTGTTTGTGTGTTTAAGCCAAGCGGTGGTGGTGGACCGGACGATGTACATATCAGGACAGCTGGGGATGGATCCTGTTAGTGGGCAGCTGGTGGATGGTGGGGTTCAGGCACAAACCAGACAGGTGACGCCTCACAGGCTACTTCCTCCATCTCTCCATTAATCCAACACAACTTCAGAAAATAAATACATGTTTCCAGTTAAAGTCTTTACTACTCTTAGCATATTTTAATGACATGTTGCTCTGTTTATCCCTCRTGATGAAAGCATGCTGTAAAAGGAGGATAAACTGTCAATTTGCTGAAAGCTCAGTTTTTAGCAACAGCAGGAATCAGGCATGTTTGCACCCAGTTTTTCAAGCTACAGAGTACAGGACCATCCATCTGTTGTAACGCTGACTGCTTCCTTCTGTATATGAATATACTGTATATATGTAAATATACACTGATATTAAGGGTGCGTGGTTCATCTGCTGTTCCTCAGGCTCTGCTGAATATGGGTGAAATACTTGGAGCTGCTGGCTGCAGTTACGAGAACGGTGAGTGGATTGTCTGACCCAAAACGTTTTACATCTGTTTTGTTAAATTAGTTTTGCAGACATTTGATTGTTTTTTCTGTGCAGTTGTCAAAACTACAGTGCTGCTGGCTGACATGAACGATTTCACAAGTGTCAACGATGTCTACAAGCAGTGTGAGTATTGATCTGCAATATGATGAGAAATCACTGGAGGCTTGTCTGTTTTTATCATGGCCCACTGTAGGGTTGGGCATAATCGTGTCGTGTGCAATTGATTGTCAGAAAAACATTAATCAATTACTTTTTGGCACTTGACAATTAATATGATTACTGCCAGCAGGCAGAGTCCGCTCGCTGCTCCTCCCCACTTCAAATATGACGAACATTAAAAATAAARTTCTGTAATTTATTTATCTATCAGCACAATTTAAAATATGATGTATAGCCTGAAATCTGTACTTTTCACACAGTTTGAAACATTTTTTTACAAAGAGCAAATTTTCCCCACTAAATTGGTCATGTGACTAKGAAATAAGGGTGTCCAGGGACTCCAGGGGATTAATCGTCAAATTAATCGTTATCGGCTAAATACCACAAATAATCATGATTAATTTTTTTGCCAATATTGCCCAACCCTAGCCCACTGCCAAAGGTGATGAGGATTTTAACTCACTGTACTGTTAGCATAATATCACATGAACCAGTGGAAAGTAATCAATGGATGTACCGTACATCTACAACTGATTAATGTAGGGTCAGGATGGCCGACTGTTCAGGTTATTAAYAAGTTCTAGGTTTTTGCTAATTTTAATTAAAAGCACTTTTACTCTTGTCAGAAGGAACAAACTGTACAGTGAATGTTAAGATGTTGCTTCTCTGAATCTATCCATATAATCTTACAACATATACATGACAGTGGAATTTAAAATAATCATTCATCAGTACTTTTCCCAATAACTGACCTTTGACATCCTGACTAAAATGTGATTCGTCTTGCTGTTATCAACAAAATTGATCCACCTTTTTGTTCTAAAGCCTTTGCGTGGTCTTCCACCCCTCTGCTTATGTTCTCTTCTTACATAACCATTCTTCTCACAACTAGAGTCAAACATACCTTAAATTKATGTTACATCTGTTTCACACAGTTCGTATCATTTCACAYAGAAACACTGCTGCAGCCAGCATTAGAAAACACAAAATAACTCTGAATAACTCAGACAGTTTTGCAGATATTGAGCTAAAATTTGTCTTTCTAGTAGCTGACAGTCATCCTCAATACATCCTCTGTATTGAGTATGTACCGTAAAGAAATCTGTTTAAAATGTTGGCACCAATCCTGTTTGTTAGTAAAATAACTCATCAACTACTGGACTGGACAGATTTTAGTGAAACTCCAGCAAAGTRATAACTGAGCGTTTATTTTTCTTTTTGATTCAAGTCAATTAAAATGGCTGCCACAGCTAATCCAACACAAAAAGGACCATAACTCGGTCAGTTTTATGGATTTTGATCTAAAGTTTGGTGTGGTAGTAGCTGAGAGTCATCCTCAGCACATACTCTAAAACCAGTGTTTTTCAAAGTGGGGGCTGCCTGGGTGTGCTAGGGGGTCATCGGAAATCGGGAAGAAAGATAAGAAAATAAATTGCTAAAATAAAAAAGAAGTCTTAACAAATGTTTCAAATAATTTTCATAAAACTTAATTTGTTTTTCAAATAAAATTTATAATAATAAACCTATCACATTGAATTGAGGATGTAAGTCTCAAAGTGTTAGGTGAAAAAAATAGACTAGAATAGAATAATGTTTTGATTAAAACGTTGCATTATGTCAAAATAAAATGAATAAATGCCTTATTGTGTCGTATGAATGAACTGTCAAAAATATGATCTTAAATAATTTTTCGTAGCACTTATTTGAGCATTGGCAACAAAAAAACATGATTTTGAGCAAAAACACCTTTTTCATATTTCCCCTGCGAGCTAGCAAATCGTTTTACTTTCTGAGAAATCTCAAAATCCAAATACTGAGGTTTCCTMTTTGAAATGACTTCWAAAAGTCCTCATTAAAATAACCTAAAACAGGATTCAGACCAAATAAAGTATTATTGTGATTAACAATAGAAATAAGTCATGTCCGCTCATGATATCAGGATGATCTAGGCATTAAAAAACAGGAATCTGAAAATGTGCTGAAATCATTTTTGACCAAATTTGACTTAATCCTTATTTTCATGTGATGGCCATGTGAGTAGTYGGAATTTTACTGATTGTGYGGGGTGGACAGGTGTCTTTATGCAGCTAACGACCTCAAACAGGTGCTTCTAATTTAGAATAAGTGGAGTGGAGGTGGACCTTTTAGATGCCGACTAACAGGTCTATGAGGGCCAGAATTTTTGCTGGCAGGTGTTCAAATACTTATTTTCCTCACTGTATACTGAAATGCTATTTAGGATTTATTTTGATATGTTCTTATTATCTTAATAATAATAATAATAATATGTTGTTGTTGTTGTTTGTTGAAAAGTTGGATTTTACGTGTGAATTCAGTACAGTAGTTAAAACGTTAGTTATAAATCTTGTGCTAAACAAATGTAAGAATTCTTGAATAGTGATTGAAAATGAGAAAACGTTGTAAAAGTAGATGTTTCTTTTCATATTTTGTAGCATTGTTAGTGGGTTTGTTGGGGTGGGGGGGACAACCTGGAAACGTTTGGGAACCCCTGCTCTAGACTCGAACCTCTCATTTCACATGTTACATGAGATAACACAAGGTTAGACCAAAACAAGGTCCATAATTCTTCTCATCATAAGATGATGTCACCCCTGTACTGTCGTTCCTTCCCTGGTTGTCCTGTCAGGTTCGAGCTGATTTTAAGGTCTTGTTGCTCACCTAAAAGGCCTTAAATGGCCTGGCGCCTTCATATCTCACCAACCTCTTACATCCTTGTGTTCCATCACGCTCTCTCAGATCTGAAGGTGTACTGGCCTRTTAATRATTCCAAAAGCTAGAAGAAAGACCATCGGTGAGCGTGCCTTCTCTTTTTGTGCCCCCTCTCTGTGRAATTATCTCCCTCAGGACATCAGGCAGGCCTGTTCTGTAGAGGTTTTTAAAGCTAAGTTAAAGACCCACCTGTTCAAACGATCTCACTTGTCTTAATTTTATCTTTTGGTTTTTTTTTTTTTATTGTTTTGATCTGTTCTGTGATTTTATCTCTTGCCTTCTGTGTTTTTATCTTGCTTTTTGTGATTTTATCCTTGCTTTTCATGAATTCACCTCTTGTCATTTGTGTTTTTATCTCCTGTCCAGTGCTTTGTTTGAAAGCACTTTACAAATAAAATTATTATTATTATTATTATTATTATTATTATTATTATTATTATCTTAGTTTAAACCTCTGGGGTGAAAAGTGATGGAGGATGTCCATTATTTTAGGAATCTCATCTTGTCACATAAAGTTAGCCACTGGGTGTCAGTATACAACCCAGACAGTCTGTGTTTTCCAAGTGTTGACTAGATTTAAATAGATGAAGTTTGACTTTCACCTTTTTTCATTCAAGAAATGTTCTCAGCCTTGTTTTTATTTTTCATTTAAGATTGTTTTACACTGTATTTATTTATTTATTTATTGTTAATAAGGGTTATACTAAATCAACCCCTCACTGCCATGTATTTGTTGGGCAGCAGGTCCTTAATATAAACCATATGAATATGCCACTAAGTATGGGTAATGAGCCAATGATTGTTCAGGTAACAGTGAAGAAACCCTGCACCTTTGATAAAAGATGATCCCACAGACTGTTGAAATGTGCTGAGTCATTTAGCCGAGTGCAATCTGAGCTGCTCCCAATAGATTAAATCTAATCTGAATACATTGTATCACTACTGCTCACCATAAAGCCCCATCATGTCTCCCTACATTTCTACTAATGTCACTGTAAGACTTGGTACATCCRTTGATGCTTTTATTTTTAAACCATTTGCAGAAGGAGCAATCGGAAAGAGAGGGGACTGCAGGGTGCTGTCAGGGGAGGCAGCAGCTAGGCAGCACCGGATGGTAGTCTGTACGGTGACTCTGCTAATTAAGAAGAGGAAATGAGTGACGGTAGAGGCAAGGGATGGTGGAAGTAAAAAAAAAAAAGAAAGAAGTTCAGAGAGGGGTTGGGGCAGGCCCAGGTGGTTGGGAACAGCTACCAGGTGACTGACAAAGTAGAGATGAACTGCCAAGACAGGCGTTTGTGTGTCATCTGGAGAGAGGAAAAATGACAAGGAGGCTTGGTGGTGGAACGAGGAGGTGCAGGAAAAATGATGGGGAGAGCTTAAAAAACCTGGGATAGCCAGGGAGATGAAGGTAAGGCTTATAGCAAGGAGAGAGGTGGAAAAGGAAAAGACTTCTAGTGAACTCTGTGTGGGGTTGAAWACTAAAGAAGAAGGAAACAGACCTGAACCTCAAATTGTCCATCRTAGCCTCTGAATTCTGTTTGCAACCAATTGACCAGTGATGACAAGGCGTTGCAATGGACCAACCATAGTCCAAACCTCAACCAGACCAGTGAGCCATCTTTGTGTGGCCAGTTTTTAAAATCATGGCTCATTTTTGTGTGCAATTTGCAAAACTATGTTCTAGGCTAAGTGGGCAACCYTGGTACTCAAGGCCCACTATCCTGCATTTTACAACACAGAGTGATTAAATCACCTCCTTCTCCTTCTGTTGGAGCTTGTTAATCATCCATTTATTCCAACTAGCTGTGTTGGAGCCAGGGGCAGATCTACAGGGGGCAAGGGGGCAACTGCCCCCCTGTTGTAGAGCCTTGCCCCCCCCAGCAGCACCCCTACTTTTATGTTTCTAAAATATTTGTAATTACTAACTGTTTGTTAGTCCAAAAGCCCATTACAACCTTTAAAATAAATATATATTTACCAAAAATATTAATTTTAAATATAATCTGAGTCCCCTGAAAAGCTCAGTTACGGCCCTGCATCAAACACCACATGCCGCTCTGCAGGCAGAACGTTGGTTACGTATTGTAACCCCATATTCTATGAGTATAAGCGCAGCCCTCTAAGGCTATCGCAGATGCCTTAGAAGTTAGAAGTTAGAAGTTATCTTTGTTTCTTAGAAGAGAAATAGGACAATAAATAGTGTTTCAAAGTGTTTTTAATGGATGTTTTGTTGACTATTTCAATAAAGGACATTTCTTACGTACAGAACATAAGTGAAGTGATCCAGCATTGCCACACTGCCTAGAGCTCCCCCCCCCCCCCCCCCTCCCCCAGAAAATTTTCTAGATCCACCACTGGTTGGGGCAGAGAAATAGGCCCGGTATGATAGCGACTCTCAAGGACTAAGTTTGCCCACCACTGTTCTAAGCAGTRCACCTAATGAACCAACCTAAGCCCATTCTGTACCCACTGTAGGAGCTGCCTTTAACTTGTGATTTAATGTACTGGAACCAAACTGTATACCTGAGTAAATTCATGTCTGTTTGTTGTAATCATGCCTTAATTGAACCTTTTTTTCCCTCCAGTTTTTAGCACCAATTTCCCAGCCAGAGCTGCTTATCAGGTCGCTGCCCTGCCTAAAGTAAGTAAAGACCTCTGCTCTTTTCTGCTGATTCTGACATGATTTGATTCAAACCTTAAAGCTGTCATCTGAATTGTGTTTTGTTTCTCCAGGGTGGACTGGTTGAAATCGAGGCAGTTGCTGTTTTGGGCCCTCTGAGCGACGCCTCCTAACAAATACAGAAACAATAAAAACACATACGATATGAAGAAACCTGAAGYATGAGTGCTGATTTAGGTGGTCCACAAAAACCAACAAAACAAACCTATCTAAAGAAACTATTTTAGCTTCTTTTAAACCAAATGTATTTTGTTCTGAAGACAGACTTGTTTCTCATGTAATCATGGAGCGTGTAACCTAACAGACTGGCAGTGCTCAGGCTCGGAGCACTTTCTCTTCTCATTAACATTGATGAGACGGGTTTGAAGACAACACAGTGTTTTCAGCTCCTGCTGCTCACGTTTCTCTCACAATAGCTGTAACCTTGTTTGTTGTCTTGAATTACCTGATCTGCCTTTATATCCACCATGCAAACCCAGGACAGTCTGTCATTATTGATGATCAGAAATAACTAATAAGTGATTTTTTTTAACAAAAATACTTGTGTATGTTGATGGTTGGCCTTGTGTTCCAGAAGACTTCCTGTTACTGAACACAAGCCAGTGTTGGTTAAATTCAAAAAGTGGTTACAAGTAAATTAAATRGGAACATGAGATGTTTCTGAATATTTATTCTTAGAATTACACTTTAACACACACCTCTTTGAATGGACATGGTGTCCAACACCAAAGACAAAAAATTTTAAAACAGCTGGGCTTTTGACTTTTCCCAAAATATCTCATAAAACACCAAACAAATGTTAATGAAACCTTCAGAAAAGAATCACTGAAAGCATATCTACAACGAAAATGAGTTCATGGTGGCTCCAAGGATCAGAGATCTGTGTCCAGGAGAACTGCCAGGWTTCTGGTCAAGAACCCGAGTCTAAAGTGAAGTGGAACCATTTGTCCTTTAAATATAAAATACATGCTTTGTGTTTTTGTACAGGTTACCACCAGCAGCTGCTGCATTCAAAGAACAGTTTGACAAATAGAAAGTACTCGGATTAGTTAGTAAAACTTTATTTTGTACAATAAACAGAAGAATGGTAAAGTTCAGTAAAGCATTTAATTACAGAGAAAGAAACKAGATAAAAGTGATCAACTCAACCATTTGTTGGCAGTGAAAGTCATTTTCTACTTTCTTTTATATCTTTAAACAGAGTTTCATCCTCTACTGTAAATTTCATGTCCTCTAACGATCTGTCAGTGTGAGGCTGAAGCTCGTAACCTACAAACACCCCATCACCAACCGTCAAATTTATACTGTAAACGTGTCAAGAAAGAGATTTTAAGGAAAAGCATTTTTCTACATTAAAGCTGAAGTAGACAACTTAATGAAGGAGATGTACTTTGGTCATTTTTACTCTTTGTCACGTTCACAAATGCTCTGTTTATTTTCCTACAATTTAAAACAAAGGTTTTCCACATTAAAAGCTAAAATATAAAATAATAATTTTGAACAATGTCTGTCTTTTTCAGTATCACCATATGAATTATTGAAAACAGCATTCCTGTTAAAATTAGCAACATGTCAACTTTTTTCTTATGTTAGTTTTAAAGGTTGATCTGTGGAAAAAAGTGAAGCATCAACCTCTCTGGTTTAAACTTTCTAAATACGTTTTACTTTTCTGTCCTCAGAAGCAGCTACTTGAAATAATCAACCCCCAACACAMTGAATCCTTGTTTCACACACGACGTCCTGCAGGTGTGGCTCCACTTGTTGAAAGAAAAGTTATTAAGGTTCATAGAATAACAAAATATACTGTTTGGTGAATTCTGACAGTATTTAAAAGATGAATTTTCTTTTCTTCTTTTACTTCATACCATTTTCCTTCCAGTTGTCTCAGAAGTTGTTTTGGGGGTTTTATTGTTTCAGGCACTCTGTGAACAGGAAAAAAAAACAATAGTAAACATCTGTAAAGAAGATTTTTACACTCAGTTACTCTACAGTGATGCTGATGAGTAAATGTTTTGATTGATTGTCAGTAAAGCTGTGTCTGTGTTCTCACCAGCTCTGAATCCTGAGAGGCCTCACCTGCAGGTGCCACTATACACACACACACACACACACGCACAGACACACACACACAAGAAATCAGCTCATGATATTTTCTGCTGTGTTAAACTAGTGTCTCATTGTTTTTATCAGCACTGCACTCAACTGTCTCAGCCCCCCTCAGAGGGGGAGAAATTAACTCGTTTTTTCATTCTCTCGCATCTCATCTTGTGGTTTAGTATAACACTGAGAGAGAAAGTTGTTATCTATTGCATGAAGGTGTGAAGTAGAATGAATGAATGAATKATACTTTATTGATCCCAAGGGGAAATTACAGTTCAGAACACCCGTTCACAAGACAGAACATAAACAAACATWGGAGARCAGGTGCCCCCAGGTCATGCAGCCATAGACCCTGCACAGGGCATGGATCATCATCATGAAAGGACATCATGAGGAGGCGCTACCTTCATTCACATACAGATTAAATTACACGCCTCTCACGATGGAGAGTCGTTAGATTCTTTGCTAGCCTGCCTCAGGACATGTTTTGGTCACATGAATGAAAGTGTGAATTGGAGGGAAACTGACTGGGTAACAGGCTCAGAGCTGAATTGTAGGTTTTTGAAAGCTGAAATCTGAGCCCTCCTCTGTTTAATTTGGTTTCTCAATGTTCTCCTTCGTCCGCCCTGTCCATTCATCTACACTGAGATGTAGGTGAAGCTCTGAGTCTGCTCCTGCAGAGCTGCTGCTGTGTTGAGCCATGTGTTGTTCCTCACTGCACTGACACTGCTCAGCTTGGGTTTTGGGGTTCTGGTCTTAGGATGGACCAGCCTCTATCTGAGGGTCCTGTTGACTTTAAGTTGTACCGGGATCTTGTGTTTGTAGAAAATCCTCCTGAGATTTTCAGACTCCATAAACATATGGGCTGACAATGTTTTTGGGTTTGTTCTTCTCCCTGGTTTTTTCCTTCTTTTCTGGCCCCGTGAGGGCGATGGTGACCAGACGTCTCTCTAGTGAACCTAATGACTCTCTATAATGAGGGGCGTTTAAACTGTGTAAATCTAGATTACTGTCACATACAGTTTAAAAGTGTAGAACTCCACAGTCCAGTTCAGAAATGAGAAAGCTCGTCAGTTGGGAGGCAAAACATCTTCATTGCAGAACAGAAGTTTTTATACTTTATTTGGATTCACCATCTCCTGAACATTTGAGAATGCACTTAGTATTTATTACAACTGAATTTTGTATTCTTGAAAGGTGGAAATAAATAATGCAAAAAAAATTAGCCTGTTATCGTGAAGATTTGTCACATTACAGAAGTAACAAAAATAAAAATTCCACAACTACTATATGTGTATGTAACTAGATTTTAACTATATGATTTATTCTTCAGGAAAAATATATTTTAAACAAACTCCTAATAAAAGTAGCATTTGCTGAAGAAATCCCCTGCTGCCTTGAATGGCAAATTTTCAAACAAAAATTCAGTTAGAAAAAATGAAATTAATGAAATTAAATTATAAAAAAAGTGTAAAATATTAATAAACAAAAAACAGTCATTAAAGATTAAAAAAGCATTATATGGTGGGGGGGGGGGTATTTTCCAGACACATAGTTTAACTTTGTACCACAGTTTTGCCTTCAGTTGTGAAAATACTAAAAAAATTAATCTGACTTTGCATCTAATCATCTTGAAATTGGCCTCTGCCTCTTTAAGAACCACCATTTCTGACACTCCCACTTCAGCACGTCATCACAACGATGCTTTAGGGGAGGGGTGCTCTGTGGGGCGGGAGCTCATGCAGACTGTGTTCCAGGGAGGAGCTTTGTACAAATAGGCAGAGCTTTGCACCAGCAAGAGTTTAGACAGCTCCACATGAGGAGATTCAAGGATTTCTCAAACATGCCTGAATGAGTCAAAGCAACACTCTGGATGTGTTTTGATGAGGGAAGGACATTGTAACATGATATAAAGGTCAAAACAGTTGACTTTGCATAATCCCACCCCCACCTCCTTATATGTTTTTTTTTTATGTTTGCCAGGCCCTATCAAACTCCATAAACTGTAAATCCGGTAAAACAAAACTTTAGACTATTTACATTTACTATGTGAAACAAAGTAATGTAATGCAGCGTTCAATCCCCGGTTTGGACCTGGGGTCTTTCTGTGTGGAGTTTGTGTTTGCATGTTTTCTCTGGTTTCCTCCCACAATAAACATTCATGTTAGGCTGCCTTCAGGCCTTTATTGCAWAAGAGTTCTGTGATTTATATAATTATGCATCTTTTTAAATCTTTTCCGTACAACTCCATCAACCCACTCCATAGCCATCTGTGTTCCACCTCAGCCTAACCGTCAAATCCCACAATGTTAAAGCCCCCTTGTCTTATAGTCAGGCAGTAAATATCCCGTAAACCACAGTTTCACTGGGCTTGGTATTCAGTGCATAAATTTTGGATGACTCTCAGCTACTGTTCTGCCATGCCATTTTTAGTGGCTAAAGTCAGCTAGCTGTAGAGGTTGATCACAGTYGACTCACACATGCAAGTACAAGATCACCTCCTTTCTTGGAACGGTGATGTCTGAGCTGACTGAAACCGTCAAAACTTTGCAAAGAGTGTTGAGATTGTTGTGTTTAATCTGAAGCAGCAGGACACGATCAGTCTGCAGGCAGCTCAGRACAGAGCACAAAGACCGAGAGCTGCAGACTTTCAGCTACACTGAAGACGAGCCTTCACTCTTCACTTACTGTACGTGTTCTTCTGTTCATGCTCTCAGTAAAACAGCAGCTGATTGGTTYACTGAGAACTCAAGGCTGATAACATTGCGTGCCTGTTAGGTATTTTCTTTGGTCATAAGTTAGRAGAAAATAGATTGACTGATTGGATCATACCTGCATGTCAGAAAGACTTGTTGCGCTTCAGCGAGTGTATTCTCACCTATTGCTGTCCTCTCAGTTCATTATGCTTCTTTGCACATGCTGTGAGTATTTAACATGTGCTCACACTGATTTCACAGCTTTTATTATTGTTTTATAGGAACCGCCACCTTCAACCTGTCTCCTGAATTAACATGACTCCCTGAAGACTGAGTCAGCAGGAAACCTTCTGTGTTTAATTTGATTAATCACTGAGCAAGATAAGCTGTCAGGAACTCCTTCAAAAGAGTCCTCAACAAAAGATGATATTAAATGTTAGCTGACCATAAAGTGTTGCTCATAACTAGCTGTGGAGCAAACATGGTCAGTCAGATTCAGAACAGCTGTTAAATAGATGCATTATTTTAAAGAGCAGTAGGATTTTTATTGTTATTTTTTRTTACAAAGTAATGTGCTGGTTCATTTTACCTTCTGGTGGTTCAGAAGCAGCTGAGGGGTCTTCAGATTGGACCAGGATGGTCTCCACCACAGGAGCCTCTGCTGTGGACTCTGAGGTCTCGCCTCCTGGTGGCGGTTCTGTCGCTGCCCATGAAAGAGTTTCTGAGGCCATCGGTGCAGGAGCAGGAACTTCTGAAGTCTGGACCCTTTTAGCAGCAGATTCTGGCTCCGGAGGTGGACTTGGAGTGACCTCTGTGGGGCAGAGCGCCTCTTCTGGTGGTGCAGTTTCACTGCGGGCTGTGGGCACATTCGGTGCCTCCTCTGTGGCTGGCTCAGGTTCAGCTTGAGCAGATGATGATGATGATGATGTAGGAGGAGGCAGCTCTGGAATAGTTGCTGCAGCAACAGCTGGGTCTATGAAAGGCTCAGCAGCATCTGCAGGTTCTGAGGGTTCTGTCGTTGCTGGAACTATACCTGGTGTCGGTGCTTCATCAGCTGCTGGACACTCATGGGATTCGTTTTCTGTGGGTGTCTTGAAGGTGGTCTCTGGTGCAAGAGGGTCGGTTGTTTCCTCTGCCAGCACAGGTGAAGCTTCTTCAGCTGTTTCAGCAGGGCTCTCCTCCACAACTGACGGAGTCACTGCTGGCTCTTGTTCTGCAGCTGCTTCAGCTGGAGGTTCAACTGGGGGTTCTGAGGGTGCTTCAGCAGCTGCTTCAGCTGGGGTCTCCTCCACGGCAAGCGGGGTCATTGCTGGCACTTCCTGAGCAGCTGGTACAGAAACCACTTCCTCAACCAGCTCTGAGGCCTCTGCCTGCATTTCTGCTCCAGCATCGTTGGGCTCAGCAGAGCATTTCTCTGCAGGTGAAGCTGAAGGCTCAGACTGTGGCTCAGAAGCTGCCAGGAGGTCTTCCCCAGAGCCGAGATCCTCCTGGGCCTCCATGGCCACCAGCACAGCCTCCTCCTCGGTTTCGCCTCCTACTTTAGGAGCCTCTGGTGGAGCGGTCTGAACAGGCAGCAGCATCTGCGCCTCAACGATTTGTGCGTCTTCTGTAATGATGCCATTTTTTACTGCTGTCAACACAGAAACAATGAAACAACRTCAGGAACAGCTGACAACTGTGCAATCTAACATTTCAATCACACAGAATAAAAAGGTGCTTTATTTCTCCAATGTGTTGATTTTATAAAATAATTTAATTTAATTGAAAATTGAAAATTTTTTGGCGTTTTCATGGCCATGATTTTAAAATGTATATTTACAAAAACACCTAAACTAAACGTATTTTCAATATGTTGTGAAAAAAAATTGTCTTTAAGTTGTTGCTTTTTCATTTTTTCTTAAAACCAAAGATTACAGTGGTATAAAATGTAAATAAGTTTAAAATTTATATACACATAAGGAACAGCTGAGTCTCCTGAATCTGTTAGAGATCATTAAATCTTTTAAATCTTCAGTTTCTGTGAAGAGATTTAAAGCCTGGCTGAATTATTTCGAGAATGTGTGGATTTATAAAAGGGCTGAATCTGAAAAAAGCTGAAGGGTTTTAATTTAAAAGGTTTTGAAATGGACATAAAATTTGAGGAAAATGTGAAGGTATGGTTTCTTMAACAACTGCATCAACAAACGGTCGGGCTTAAAGGGTTAAAAAAAGACTGGAACTGATACTGATGTTAAGAATCATCAAAACGTCAGAATCAAAAAGTTAAAAAATGATTTGTAATAACATGATTTGAGCAGAATGAGGTTATTAACTAGATTCTTCAGCTGGTTAAAACTCACAGGCTCACTCTGATTATTTACTGTATGCCTGCGTTTTTTTGTATTTTGTAAGTTTGAGGTTTTTTTAAGATTTAAGGAGGTAATGTTGTTCATTTATCATATCAAGACTTCGGTAGATCTTCAGCTAAAACCCAGACTGTTTGCAGATTGAGCATCATACGTAAATGAATTAAAGGCAGCAAAAAGATCACAAACGAAACTCCCACAGGATAAACTGGAATCATCTTGTCTTCAGTAGGAGAATGGAGAGATTTAAATGCTACAAGGTTCATTAGTTAGAAAATCATGAGTATTGTGAAGATCTGACAGGAAAACCCTTTTAGAACTTTAAAAATATGTTTAGGCCCCAACAAAGAAGTCTGGATTGGACTTTTTTTTTTCAACTCTAAACTACAATTGAAAAACTACAGTAATTTTTTTGTGTGTTCAGTAATTTAATAATAGATTGATGTTTTATTTAAATTGCACAGTGCRTCCAGAATTCTTGGGGAAACTGGGTTGGGTCATAGAAATGTGGTTTAATTCGACACAGACTGCAGAAGACAGGAAAAAAACAATAAAGGCTGAAAAACATCCTTTCATTTCCGTTCTGAGAAGAGGATTTACTGAAGCCCTGAGGACCTGCAGGCTGACAGGAAATAAAACACATGGAGTTTATAAAGAGGCAAATTCAGCTTTACTGTCACGTTTCTTTGTGATGGTCACTGTTAGCAGTAGGTGAGTATAAAATGACAGAATAAACATCATTGGTTTTGGGAGTCACAACATTCTGACCTCCTGTTTTATTAAAACAAAGCAAAGAGCACTGAAGCGTTTTTTCTTATTGCATTGTCCTACAATTTATACTATATGTTGTTGCACAGCATTAAAACAAAACTAAACTATACAGCACAACAAAATCAAGTGTAGTGTGCTTTAACATCTGGCACTGTATTGTTGCATAACAGAGATAAAATCATCAAAAATCTACAAGAATAAAGRAAACAGAATTTTTGGTGAAACAGATGGGAAAACCCATCAGCCTCTCTTAKAAGTTACATTTARCTAATTTTTACTAAATGTTAAATTTAAATGTCGAAAAAGATGTATGTAGCTAAATATTAAATAAATGTGTAAATCTAAATGCAAAAGTTAAATGCTGAAGTTAATGTTACAGTGAACATTTTAGTATTTAAGAATGGAACATATCCTTTGCTGTTGATGCTCACCTCTTGTTATGATGTCATCTTCCYAAGACAATAGCTACTGCTACGCTGCTAATGCTGCGAATGCTGCTAACAGTGCTAAAGGCCTACATGCTCCATCTGAACGGCCACATGTTGACACACTCACAGCCTAAATTTGATGATTTTTATGCATTTTTCTACAGTGACTGTGGCTGTCACACTGGAGTTTGAGCTGTTGCGAGTCCATCACAAGCTGCAGGACTCTTTCTCACTCATATCCCACAAAATGCCAAAACAGAGTTTATGAGTTTTTACTAGCAATGTTCGATACCACCAATTTAATTTCCATTTCTGATAAAGCCCATGCTGACACCAGCGATGTTGATCTGATTCTGATACTTTCACCTTATGTGTGTGGCAAATCTAAAAATGTAGTGRATTTCAAATCACCACTTCAAAAGAATCAGTCATTTATTWTTTTTATTTTAAACTCAGAGGTAAATTGATGTAGCATCCTCATTTACAATATAGTATAGCTAATACAACAGGAAAAAAAAACAGAGGACGCAATTGAAGAAATTTATTGGGGTTGTTTACTACTGAATTATAAAGACACTACATATTTTATAGTCTTTTTTTAGGTGAACAGTAATATATTTCTATAATGTGGTTATCTCTGACTTAATTGATGATTTTATGTGCAGACTGGGTTGTGGGGCTCTTGATCAGGGTCTCACAGACTCAGGAGACTTTTAGTCAGATACATGTCTGATTTAAAAACAACACATAAGAACAGTGATCAAACATTAGTGTGAGGGATGATGTCTGACATCTTGACTCCATATGGGAGTAGCCTGCCCCTTTAACATATGTCATGAGGTGGAGTCAGGATGTGAAGAAAGCTGTTCTTGATATGTTTCCTGGTTTTGCTCACTGCTTAGCTGATGCCTGTCGGAGRCAGATTAAAACAAAAGCTAATCAGTCCACAGCTGTGTCTGAATGGTTTTGTATGGCTCACATGTCATTATTAACTGGTATTAGATCTGAACAGGTAAAGGGTAACGAACATTGTTTATATTTTAACACAATCTTACAAAATAAATGTTTTTAACCAGATGAAAATGAAATAAAATAAAACCACTAAAATAAAATATTGTTTGATTATTAAGAACTACTATAAATATGAAAACTTTAATCTTAATTTATGTTACATGAACATAGTAATGTAACAGCTACAGACTGAGTGACTGACGAGCATGTGTCACTGCTGGGCTTAAAGTACGTATTACCCAGGTGGAAGAAAAAGTAGTTCCCTACAAGCGCTTATGATTTAGAAAAGCTTTCTAGTTTAGTTACTTTCCACTGTGTTCCTGTTAATGATATACATCACATGAAATTACTGAAATATCAAAGTATTGATATTTTAATKTTAGTATTGATACTATAGCATGAGGGTCTGGTATCAGTGGTATCAATATTTCAGTATTAATCCGCACGTCACTAGTTTTTACAAACCATGACTGTTTGTTTGAGACTTACTTTTCAGTCTACATTTCTGTCTTCCTCATTCATTTGGTGGTCTAGGATTGACAGCTGCTGATAGTTGTTTTGTGTTGGTTTAGTGTAATTTGTTATTGTTGTACTGGAGTTTTGGGCAGCAGCTCTTCAATGTCTTCAGCTAAAATATGAAGCTTTATTCACAAACAAGTTAAACCAGAAGGGCTCGCAGGCTGGATGAACGGGTGATTTTGACGCTGACAAGATTTTGTTTGTCTGTCGGAAGCGATAAAAACCGCTCGGTGTGATGAGCGGAAGGGAATGTGAGGGATCGGCAGCTTGTGTGAAAATGAGCCAGTGGTTAAACACACACAAGCTTTTATTAATAACTTTTGATTTTTTTTTTTAACTCAGGCATCTCTAACATCAGTGTTTGAACTTTTGTTTGTCCTGCATTGATCTCTTTTGYTCATTCCCTCTAGTTTGTTTTATTTTCCTCAGTTGGAGCAGCAGCAGAAGGGGAGCTGAAGAGACTGAATGTAACTGTTTGGCCTGAGACAAAAAACCAWTGCTGAAGGCCTGGGTGACCCGTGYGTCAACACGATTTAGCAGCCAAAGATGACACAGATCCCAGTCAAAACAGAGTCACGTCTGGCTGGAAGCACAGAGGAGACAGAGAGGAGGGACGGGGCCCGGCTGGGGATGGGAGCAGAGGAGGTACAGCTGGTTTTTTAGACAGACTGAACACTGTATGAACCCAAACGTCAGACAAGGACGACCTGTTTAGAGAGGCCTGGCTTGGTACTGAATACAATACCTGATTTTYTTGCCAGGATGATGTAAGAGTCTAGAACACGAGAGGCAACTGGTGGCCGGCGGGCCGTATATGGCGTGCACCCTCACTCAAAGCAGGTCTTAGAACAATTTTTGAAAATTACAAAAATGTAAGAAAGTGTCTCAGCAGCACTGAATAAGTTACATTTCCCACTAGATGACACGTCCAATGCAGACACCACCTCGTGCACACRTCTTCTCTGCCAGTGAGAAAGAAGTTTAGTCTTTAAGAACCGACAGAGAAAACTGGACAGATAAAATCTCATGTTTCAGGTGAAACGAGAGGAAAATTATCTGWTGACAGAATTTTAAGGCAAACCTGCATTTAGTCTTCTTAGAGAAACTGTCGGCCATAGAGGATTTTAATATAAGTCACCACTACAACACGTTGCACAAAGCTAAATATGAGAAGTTTACTGAACTCACGAGCACATAAACAACGACCCCATCCAGCAACCTTTTCAGTGAGAGCTGAATGCTCTACGGCTGTGCAGCCGTGCAGTCCCACTGTATAAGAACAGGAAAGTCAACCAAGATCAACTGGCTTAGGGTCATCATGGTAACCACACACCTGTGTCTGTCTGTCACTCCCTGACAGCAGGTAAGACAGAACTGTAGACTAGAAAGTAAACCTCAGGCAAATTCAATGTAAACTTTATAAGTTGTATTGCAATATCTCCTGAACTGAAAGTATCACAAGGACCTGGCTGCCGTACATGTCCATTGTTGTGTGTCTGCAGAGTTCTGTAAATGACCRGGATGTGCAACCTGCGGCCGTGGTACTACATGTGGCTTTTTACTAACAAGAAATAAAAAATTGAGATTTTATACGCACAACAAAAAAGGCTAGCTTCAGCAGTTTTCCTGTCAGTTTGTTTKCAAATATGAGATCATTATTATTACTAATTCAAGGTGAGAAAGGCTGGTCCTAAAACCACGTTGGCCACCAGTTTCCAGTTTTAACGTATGATCTTTCTCTCTAATCTATCAGGGCTGCCTTTAAAAACCTTTAAGACTAGATAATAAGAATTTGAAACAAAAATATGCCTGCATGGTTCATCTGTAGGTATTATTATAAATTTATTTACAAACCCATTAAGAGTAGTTTTCTTGTTTCCATGAATGTGGTCCTTTGTAATAATAAATGTTCTTGTGATGTGTATGTTCTTCAAATACAAAAAGTCAAAGACAGCATCTTYAGTTTTTAAGAAACTTGGGTTAAAACACAATTTTGCACATTTTGTCRCAGCATATTTTYTTTTGAACTTGGCTTGGCCGAAGTGAAACAGGGAGTAACATCAAAGGGAAACTCTAAAAAAATGAACTTCTTGGTCTTTTTCTCTCTAATAGTGACTCAAAATAATCTAAAGAAGCATCTGATTCTTCTCTACAGTCTGTGTTGTTAGTCGTGCTGCTTTGTTCACCTGCAGACATTCCCCTTTGACATCACTTCCTGTTGCTGCACGTGCAAATATCTCAACAACTGTTTGTCTCAGTGGGGTTAAATTATTATTGAAGTATATTGTCAGTGTTATCTTTCTAAAAATGCGGTCTTATTTTTTTTTACATAAATTTGATGTCACAGGCACTTTAAAATGTACTACATAGTTTTAGTTTTATAATGTTACCCCCACTGGCCAGAAAGGCCCTCCTTCAACAATCTCAAAGTGGCCCGCAGACCATCATTTGATAATCACAGTTGTAGCATGTTTTGGAGCTTGGGACACATTTTTTTAATGAAGCAATGAGCAGAAATGGCTCTTTTGAATGTAAAGGTTGAAACAACTGGAGGAGTTTGTTTGCCAAAGTTTTAACAGGTCAGAAGTCTGTGTGTGAAATTAGGCTTTGAGTAAAAAATTGTGTTGTTAAATGTTGAAGAATCCTAAAACCTAAACTGTAATTGTGTCAAAAAACATAAGAGGTCAAAACTCATCTAAACTCCAACTTTCTGAGACTTGTTTAAACTTCAAATGTTTCAGCTGAGAAGTTTGATTGAGCCGCTAGATTTTTTCATTTCTTTCACCCAAAAGTCATTGTTGACAGTGAGGAAACATTTTTATTTTCTTAATCTTGTCCACACCGTAGTAGGACATACAACCCATTTCTTAATAAGAGAAATGTGCTGAACACAAAAAAACTGTACAGTCTTAGRCTACTTGTTCAAAACTACAGAAACATTTTAATGTTGACTCCTAAGCTSCACAAATTGTTTTTCTCTGGGTTTTTATCTGTGTAATTGAAACACGTGTATGCCTGGCATGACCCAAGCATGTGGCAGCTTTGTTCAGAGCCATGAATGGACAATCCTGGGCTGTGTCCTGCAGCTTCAACACAAAATTCACTACTACAAAATAAAAGAAGGCTAATCATGATAAACAATTAATTCCAGTCGAAACAAAACTGCTTTGGTTACACAGATACAAGAGTTTCTATTACATAGAACATTTCTGAAAAGGAAAGTGATGACGCTGGTGGAGTATTTAATGTTAAATTTGTTTTATCTCGTCAAACAAATACATTTTTTCCTGGTATTTGTTCTGAAAATCTGAAATCCTGAATGAATACAGAGGTGTGGTAGCAAACAGGTTGGATTGCCATTTTTGCCTCCGGCTGCAAATTGACTCCTAAACACTCCCGGCTGGCCTTCACTGTCCTACTGCAAGAAGAGTTTTCTGTCAGAGTGCTCAGTTTTCATAGAGGCTGAGAACTGAACAAACCTCAAAAGAAGTGTCTAAAATAACACCAGTGACCTGACTGAACAGATGGAGAAATGACTCAACGTCAATAGAAAGTTGAGGGGAAAAGCACACAATGTACCGGACCATATCAGACATTTAGACACATAAATAAAATMTGTGTTTGTAATTAGAAGACATGTTGTAAAGGTAATCTCTGTCTTCAAACACTCAGACATCCCTCAGGKCATCATTACTCACCTAATGTGTCTCCGTTGGCCTCCTCAGGTTTTGTGCCGGGTTTTTTCTCCTGATCAACAGTTTGTGTGCTGGATGATGAGCACCCCATGTTTGGAACAAARTGATGAGATGATAAAAATGGAACCTAATAAACGTCTAAATAAAAGTCTCAGCTCTGTCTGGCTTTAAAGACAAAACATGGACAGTTAAAGTCTCTCCAGGTCCTCACAGATACTGGGAACCATTATCTCCTCTGGTCTGTGTCTTCATGCTCAACCTGTTGCCCTTTGGCCCCAGACCCCAGTCTGTTCCCAGCATGGAGCAAACCGATGCAGTCTGCTCAGGAGGAGGTGKCAGATAAAGAGTGTCCTCCCCTTTCAGGTCTGCCTGGAGGAGATCCTCCACCTTGTGGCAGCAGAAGAAAAACACAAGCATCAAATATATTTCAGGCTGCTTCATGATGCAAAAGAATTGAAGCAGCCTTGTAAAAATTTGGACGTCGCTATTCTTGTTTTTGTTGTAGAATTTACAAACTGTGATTTAAGATTTCAATATGCACGATAATTGGGACTTTTTGGTGAAACAAGTGAGAAACTGAAGCTGGTATCAGATATTCTTCACAGAGTTGGACTTCATGCAACAGAATTTTGATTTCTCAAATAACAATCACAGTTTAGTTTTTTTCCTTCCAAGATTTCACAACAGAGTTCAGTTTACGGTGTGATGATGTCATACTTTAACCCTTAGCTTGTTTAAACTACCAGAATTTCTCACAAACTATTCTTTTCACAGTTAATATGTCTTATAAAGTTTGTTATCATTTTTTTGTGTCCTTTAAGGAGGAGGTCCTGGGGCTGACCCAGGAGTATGTCTCTGAGTGGCCTGGAAGTGTCTTAAGGTCCACAGAGGAGTTGGTGAAGTGTATAGGGARAGAGGACAATTTGAATCTCCTTGGTAAAGATGCTGCCCCCTCTAGACCCAGACCCAGATTAGCAGAAGACAACAATAACATAAAAAACATTATATGACAC